ACAAGTATTTTTTTACCAGTACTCATTGGAAAATTAGTTCAATTGGCGCATTTCTGCACAATTCTCTCGCGGGCCGGATAAAATCACATCGAGGGCCGCATGTGACCCGCGGGCCGTTGTTTGGAGACCCTTGGTCTACGCGAAGATGAAAGGGACCGACAATGAATGTTCCCTTCTGGATTCCACACGTACATATCTAAATTAAAACGTCACAACAAATTGTTTATTTTAATATATCTCGTAAAAAGCCATACAGTTGATTAATTTATTAAAGTACTCATTGTCTAAGTGCGCACCACAGTTGCTGCTCCCAGAGCGATGTATAGCCGCGAAATCGTAGCAGGTCACCTCCTGGTCCCCATTGCAGTCGTGTCCATATTTCAGCATGTAGTTCTGTACCGTCGCCTCGGCACATCCCTTGTCATTTGCACAGCGCATGTAAGCACCCTCAGAATAAGAGCTATCCCCGTTCGGCACCGGCCTCCCTCCGTCGTTCCAGTACCCCCAAGTTATTGCATATGGGCCACAAGTGCTGGAGCCACATCCTATACTGAAATCGCACCGCGAGGAGCCCTCACAGATGCACTGTAGACACTGCGTGCTGACTGGAGCGAACTGAGGTTCTGCACAGTGTAGAAGAAGACTACATATCAAAGTTGCAACCAGAATGTATCTTGCCATTACTACGTAATTTATATTTAACTGAAAACTACAACCTACAGCGACGGAAGAGAATTTTGAAGTACAGGACACACAAAAATTTTATATAAGACGTCTCCCCCCCCCCTCTGCAATCATGCTTGTGTAATGTGACGTAATCGTAAGTCTGGAAATGTGGATCAGACATCTGTTACGTCATATTCCACGTAAAGAAGTTGATTTTAACACATGGCTGAGAGCGATAAGGGCACATGTCTCGGTGACAACTGAGCTGTCAGTTTTCTTTATAATTGATTTAAGTTAATATTTTACGCATTAGTGGCTATATCGTGTTTCCTGACATGACACCCGAAAGCCGGAATAGGGAAATCTGAATAGACGTTCATTGTTAGGCAACGATTCGGCAAATACATTCCCGCTGCAACGAATACGCAAGCAAAAGTCCAGTAACTGCCTTTGCTACGAAACGGCGCTGAAAACACGCCTTCCCAACAATAGAGAGGCTGTGTTTTCTGCGTGGTCTGTGCAAAGTGGATATAAAGCTGAGAAGTAGCAGTCGGATCGAGTCGAGTTTCGGGACGCCGGCCTACCAGGATATGAGTCTGGGAGCAGAGGAATTGAATTGAGTGGTCTTCGGAATTGGCACTTGCAGAATATTGGCAAGAAAGGAATTTGGCTGTGAAAAGAAGAGTTCATGTGAGATTTGAAGTGACAGTGAGACTGTTATGAAATACGTTGCCAGGATACGCCTAGTGAAGACTGAGAACCCTAGCGCGCGCGCGCGCGCGTGTGTGTGTGTGTGTGTGTGTGTGTAGATCAGCGATCGCGCTGTATTGCCTGTAGTCACGAGTTGTGTGAATAAGGTGTCAATAAATCCAATTATTCAAACCAAGACCCGTCTCTAAGACACGCGTACACCCCTTACACGCGACAATATTAAGGAATGATACTGGCCAACACGATCCTCATATTAAAGAAGCTAACGGTTGCAATACTCTCGTGTGTATTTCATCAGTCAGAAATGCTAGTAGTTACGAATAGAAGCATATGATGACAACAATAAAAGTGTGCTTTGTCGGTATTATAGTATTATTATTATTTTTTTATTATTGCTATTGGGGTGGGACTAAGTCCCTTGTAATGCGGCCACTTCTGGCCTATTGTACCAGCCCCAGATGTTAGGTGAGGGTGATTGTGGAGCAACTGGTGGAATGAAGATTGTCAGGGGGAACCGAAGTACTTGGAGAAAACCTGCCCCAGCGCCACTTTGTCCACCACAAATCCCACTTGACCAGACCCGGGATCGAATCCGGGCCACCGCGGTGGGAAGCCAGCGACTAACAGCTTGAGCTGTGGCGCGGCCCTGTAAGTAGGCATACAAATCAAAATATAAANTTCATTTTGAACCAAATACTCAGCAAAAGCGTAGTATATTTGTGATTTGACATGTGTACACCTGAAGATGGTCAGCTGAGACCGAAACATATAATGTTTTTTCTTAATTTGATATAATAAAATGACTGACTCATTGGTAGATTCAATGCAATCCCTTACTACATAACAGCTAAGATATCACGTCCTGTGCGACAGTTCAGAAACCTTGACTGTATATTCACAACAGAATGCAAAGTATAAACTAATTGAAATTTATCAACCTAAAAAAATAATTGATTTGCTATATGAACCTATAAGCCTCCTTCAGATTTACAACTACAAAACAAATTCCGTGGCCTGCAGTCCGCAAGCGAACTATACCGACCGAGCGACCGCCGCTTGTCGTCGAAGTTAGTGCCAACTTTTGCGGATAGAGAGTGTCACGTGGTAAGCGCAACGGATCTTCACGGCTGTTAATCTCGGTTTTCTAGACCGGAACCACTATTTCCTTGAAATAGCTCTTCAATTATCCTCACGAGGCTGAGTGGACCCCGTACCAGACCCACTACTTCTCAGGAAATATGATGGTGTCGGGAATCGAATCCGGACCTCTGGATCTGTAGGCAGGAACTCTGACCACTAGACCACAGAGGCGGTAGGATGAACACAATAAAGAATATAAAAATCAAATTTGTAATGAACTTTTCAGGTGTGTACCTGAACGCATGTTAAAGGAATATGATTTATTAGTTTCGTAGTAAATAATTATAATTATCTCTTTTCAGAAAAACAGACCAAGTATTTCCCAATCGTAAGGTTCATTTCGTATTAGAATTGTTAGGAAGTTCAAACTTTATAGACAATAATTCTTGAGTTGTTGTTGTTGGAATCCTGCAGTTTTAGTGTTTGATTTTATCTTGCTCAATTGACTTATCCTTGAAGGAAAATGTGGAATTTCCTTACTGCGGAGTTTTAATTCACAGCAAACAAGGATTATTATTAACAGAATGGACCTTGAAAACATTGCAAAGCGGAACTTCTTTAATATGCCTGAATTAACATTTTTCTTTGTAATGAAATAAATACTAAACGCCATCTAGCATATCATGGCTTTGAATATTTCTCCCTGGAATGTTTAACTTCAATTCAAGGCGAAATAATTATTGGTGAATTGCGATAAAAAATACGTACGAACAGGGGAATTGTCAGAAATTGCTTTTCCAGATCTGGCTGCCATTTTCCAGTTTACTGGAGAATACTGCGCAAGTCTCACAGAAATGTGGCATATCACTATGAATAATAGAGGACATTATTGGGCATAAATGGCACACCGGGAGGTTAGTTTTCTTGTCGTTATTGGTTTATTTTTCTCTAAAGCATACTATTCAACAGTTGACCTAGGGGAAGTACGTGAGGAATAGCCCATGTCAGAAGACTGTAACCAGGCAACGACTAGTGGAGGCTGTAACAATCTGAGGAGACTAGTTGTCGCCGATCACACTGGCCTTGCGGTCTAAGGCATGAAATGTCTTGTTCCTATTAAACACTGAGATTGTGGGTTCGAATCCCACTCGAGGCATGGATGTCTGTGTGGGTTTATTCTTTGTTCGTGTTGTTCTGTGTGTAGGTAGCGGCCTTGTGACGTGCTGATCCCCCGTCCAAGGAGTCCTACCAACTGTGTATGGTTCATAATTACATAATTAATCTGAAAGGGAATAGGCCAAACAGTACAATCCGTCGAGGTTGAAGAAGGATTGAAGTTATTAAATTATAGTCTAGGGTGTACAACAGAAATATTGGGAGTTACATATAAGCGCCACAAAACAGCTGTAATCTATGTTGTGATAGTAACCACGTGGTGACAGCCTGATAATACGATCTATCGATATCTGACAAACTTAAGTGTACAGATTGCGTAATTAAAAACAAAATGAAAAACACTTACATAGTATACTAAAAATAAAACTAATATCAAAGTGCAACGGTAGTTTAACTATAATGAATAAATTAAAAGCTTCTAAAATTAGTTCAGTAACCTGAACTTACTTCTGATTGCGCATTTACTTAATAATATAGAAATTGGGGGTCACAGTGGCCGCGCCGAGTAAGGCATGAAATGTCTTCGCCCGCTCGAACACTGAGATCATGGGTTCTAATACCACTCAAGGCATGCATGTCTGTCTGTCTGTCTGTGTAGGTAGCGGCCTTGCGACGGGCTGATCCCCTATCCAAGCAGTCCTACCGACTGTCTTAGGATTAAGAAGCTGAAGTGAAAGAAAGCGTTTCACGGACGCCTAATGTTCCAAAGTGAGAGCATCAGAAATAAAAAATAAATAGAATATAGAAATTATAAAAATACTGTACATAGTTAAATAGAATTATACGAAAATCTTGTCTCATTTAAACTATTTTTAACCCTTTAAAGTCATCAATACAACGCACGCAGTCGCAAGGGAAGGACACAAGGCAGGACACAATATACACAAGAATATAGGAAGAGTACTCCCATAGGAGAGGACTGACATAACTCGCGAATTTGAAGTGCGACGTATAGATGATAAATCTTGAAAAGTTTTAATATATACATTTTATTATTATACAGGACATATTTACATTTTAATCATTTTATAAAGGAGACATGATGGCATACAGTGCAATGGTTTGACGTAAACAAAACCACGCCTGAATATGGCACATTAGTGCCGAAACATGTAGTGAAGAGAAAGGTGAAATTATGTGCACTGTAAGACGGTTGGTACAAATACACATCATGAACTTTAAAGCCCAGTGGTTATTATGCGTACCGTCTGCGTAACTCTACATCCTGTCCACAGAATGGTTTTATTTAGTTTTGTGCTAACTCTACAGGGCAAGGGTCAAAAATAATAATTCAATTCAGTTCAATTCTTTATTATTTAAGTGCTGAGTCAACAGCCACAAGGCCAATTACAGACACAGCNCTATTTTCCGTACGACGCTCAAAACCTGCCGGGATATTACGTAGGTCAGTAAGTTCCACAGTTTTGAACGTTTGTCCGTAGATTCCCTATTACTGAATTTCCTGGGGGAATTTTGTGCGTCGCACTACGAAATAATTGTGTCACGGAACTGAGTGTGATTACAGCGGACGTGAATGTGGTGCACGAGGATCTAGTCGCTTGGTTTTACTTTGACATCTGCTGCTTCCTGACAGGTTCCCCCGCTCATGCGGTCACACACCAGTCCCTGGGCGCATCTGCAGACATTAGCGTACACGTTGGTAATCCTGATTGTCTCCCCTGTTGGGTAAGACAGAGTGAAATTTTTGGGCTCGTTATCAGGACGACAGAGACTCCCCAATCCAAGCAAACTGGAACACTTGGGGTAAGTGTACCTGTGTCCACCTGTTAAATACAAGAACACGGATGTTATATGGACGCAAAAAGTGAAAATATGTTTAGTGTTTGATTACTTATCACGTCAGTACACACCATCCAGAACACAGCATTGCGCAGGCGCACATTCCTTGGTGTCCAAACAGGTGACGTAGGCTGGATCATCTGCACGAATAATGGCGACTGAAGACAGCAGCATCAGTGCTACCAACTTGCAGAGACACGTCATGGTAAAGTGTTTGCTAGAATGAGGGAGTCAGTAAGACAATATACCGAGGAATCTGGATCAGATATTGCTACTTCCTCACTTCTTACACGTCTCTTAATTTTCACGTAATATTTTGCTATACTTTCTACCTATCTCAGTCTTTAACTGGTTAAATTGTGCAGTGATCGCTTATTTCCACATCCTACCAAATTCATTCTTCGGTATGAATGCAGTCATTGAAATCTATGCAATCTGAATTACTAACAGCATCGTTAAATAAGTCGCAAAGCTCTTTGGTCTAGTGGTCAGAGTTCCTGGCTTCAGATCCAGAGGTCCGGATTCGATTCCTGGCGCTACCAGATTTTCTGAGAAGTAGTGGGTCTGGAACGGGCTCCACTCAGCCTCGTGAGGATAATTGAAAAGCTATTTCAAGGAAATGGTGGCTCCGGTCTAGAAAACCGAAATTAGCCGTCGTTGAGGTTCGTGGCGCTGTCCATGCGACAACCTCTATCTGATAAAGTTGGCACTAACTTCGCAGACAAGCGGCGGTCGCTCGGTCGGTTAGCCTGCGGACTAAAACTANTGGCTCCGGTCTACAAAACCGAAATTAGCCGTCGTTGAGGTTCGTGTTCCTTTGAAAATGAATGAAATAAACTGCAGCACTCATGTACGTGCCGAACTCTGAAGCCCTAATTTCTCATATCAATCACAGATTTATTATTTACATTGTAATATCTGACGTTTTCACGGCGGCTAAAGCAAACAAAATCATTTTGGTCTATCATCCGTGTCAGTTTTCANCACTTCAGGAAGACATAGATGGACTTATCGCAAAATTTATGTATCTCTTATGTTACTTATGTATTATAATGAATTATAATGAAATAAACTGCAGCGCCCATGTACGTGCCGAACTCTGAAGCCCTAATTTCTCATATCAATCACAGATTTATTATTTACATTGTAATATCTGACGTTTTCACGGCGGCTAAAGCAAACAAAATCATTTTGGTCTATCATCCGTGTCAGTTTTCACAATTAACGACGTTTCATGGATCATCTCTGTCATCATTATCGTCATCAGGATTTGATGATGGGGACAGAGATGGTCCTTCGAACGTCTGTAATATTTGTAAGTTTTGAGGTTTTCACGGCGATGACTATGAAGAAAGTCGTCTTCTGTAATATTTATCCGCAAGACTCGGTAGTCCAAGAAGATTTCTTTTATCATAATTTGATATGTAGATTAAGTTGGTTGTAGAATATAATCATAATTATAAATGTAATAATTACCTTTCCAAAATTCCACACAAGAATATTATTACAGTCTGGGAATTTGTAACTGTGATTTGGAGCATGGAATCATGCCTTATATACAGAACCTGCTTGTTCAAATCCCCCTCCCCCACTATGATCATAAGATTGATAGGATTAGCAGTTATTTCGTAAACAGATGTAAGTAGATCATGATTCTGATAACATCGTGATAAGGGCAGAGTGTAACTGTCCGCCTTTCGATGAGCCATATCCGTTCCCTCTTTAGATTATATAGAATTGCACGAACTTCATAATTCTGCGAACAAAGAAATGACAACCGAAAATTAACTATGAACTATGAAGACTATTGCCTTTTCAGATTTTATGCCGTGTAGTATGGTAGAAGTTTGCCTGCGTTTCGGAGGAATATATTTCCCCATCATAAGAATGTTTGCTGCTTGCTTTGCTTCATTTTCTGCACTGAAGATGGTAGAAACTTAAGGAATTGTAGAGTTGTAGAATTGTATCTGTATTTTAATGTGAAAGCTAGAAGGAAGACCAAGGCGTAGGTGGGTGCACAATATTAAAATGGATCTTAGAGAGATAGGATGGGATGGTATGGATTTATAAGGGGTGAGTTTTCTCGGCCCTTGCACCGCGACCTACAGTGGTCTATTGTGCTTATGGGATGATATGAATTGGATTGATCTGGCTCAGGATATGGACCAGTGGAGGGCTCTTGTGAACATGTTACTGAACCTTCGGATTTCATAAAATGAGGGAAATTCTAGAGTAACTGCAGATTTGGCGTCTCCTCCAGAAGGGCTCAGCTCCATGAGTAAGTAGACCATGAACAAGGTTTTCACATTCTCAATCCCGAGTAGCAACGTCTCTCGTTTGTCCTCAGTAGCACTTGAAGTTCGCTGCCTTCGGGTTAATTATACGGATTTTCGGGTTTCAATTCCGCTCTATCAAACCTACAGCGAAAAAAAACTGGATTCGGAGTTCCATCATTTTAATTTGAATTCCTATTAAGTAATGAACGGGATTATTTGGTGAATATGATTTTTTATACTAGGTAATACTACCCATTACCCATGGAGCTGAGCCCTTCTGGAGGAGCCGCCAATTCTGCAGCTACTCAAGAACTTACCAGCATTTTATGGAACCCGAAGGTTCGTTACCGAGTTCACAAAAGCCCTCCACTGGTCCCTATCCTGAGCCAGATCAATTCAATCCATACCATCCCATCCTATCTCTCTAAGATCGATTTTAATATTGTGCACCCACCTACGCCTTGGTCTTACCAGTGGTCTTTTTCCTTTCGGCTTTCCCACCAATATCCTATATGCAGTCCTCGTCTCCCCCATTCGTGCTACATGCCCTGCTCACCTCGTCCTCTTTGACTTGATCATTCTAATTATACTTGGAGAAGAATACAAGTTATGAAGCTCCTCATTATGCAGTTTTCTCCAACCTCCTGTCACTTACTATTTACTAAGTTTAGACATTTGTTTAGAACTCTTTTTGTAATGAAGGATCAGCCAGTGCATTTGTTGGTACCAAAATATTAGTACAAGACGTAAATTTCGTTCGACTTACGGCCCTCTATGTGCTAACGTATGCCAATTGAACTACCGCAGAAATTTTCTTGAACAGAAAGTTGCGCGGTGCAGACATCCAATCGGATTTATTGGACACTTACGCTAGTAACTACAAATAAATACGACAGTATCACTGAGTCATACACTCAAAAGATCACTATAATTGCAGCACACATAAAGTGTTCTCAGGCTTTACTAGCCGTTGCTTGGTAGCAGCTACCAACGGGGGACGTTCCCCTTCCTCTGGGTTCCCGAACTATCCCGGCCTCAGCTACCAGGTTCGCACTTCTCGCAACTGCAGCTCTCAACAAGTCCTTCCATTGCTGTGTGTTCTGTAGTTGCCGGGGAGACGTGTCCACAGAGCTGTTCCCTAGCAACGGCTGTTTACACAGCTGTTACTTGGCAATAGTTCTACACGTCACAATATTTTTAAAATGATTTTCTTGTCATTGACGGTGTACTGTTAGTATCTCCTGTGCTGTTTGTTCGGGTGAAGGTAAACTTATCCCAGATATCCTTCGAGAAAGCTCATTTTGAAATCCATGTAATGCAGGGATTTTACTAGACAGATAAGAGGTTACAAATGATAAAATTATCACTGTGCGTAGTTAAGCACTTTTCTATAAAGACCTTATCTCCACCATTCCTGACCTCTGCACTAGAAGGGTGTGAGTGGTCGGCTTCGTGCTCTGCGGAAAGAGCCCCTAATACCCATTGGAGAGGAGGTTGGGTGGGCCCCAGAGCCGCCGATCTGGAAGCTGTGGAGAAGAAAAAAATGTTGCCCTGCCGGAAGTCGAACCTCAGCCGTCTAGCCCGTAGCCCATCACTACACCGACTAAGCTATTCTAGCTCCGCATTGTTCGGGAAAATATTTGCTAGTTCTACACTTTTCGAGAGAGAGCTAGGAGAAAATGACGCTTGAATTAGCAGTGACAATCATACTTGTATATGCGACGGCAGGACTGTTTACATGCGGCAAAGTACAACGCTTGTTTGCGTATCCTTGATACAGCATGAATGCCACCCGCTCGACAGCAATATTCGCCAAGGAAATTACATATTATATATTTATCATATTCATGTAAATTTCAGAAATAATTTATTGTGTTCTTGTTGTTCTTACATAGTCTTCGTCTTAAAAATTAATAACTCTATATAGTGTTATTTTTATTGCTTTTTTTAGATGAGTGTAGAAATGATTATTATGACCCAATTATAAAGCATTAGGACGCCATATGCCGATTGGTATTACATGTGTAATGTGGTTCCACTACTTAATTTAAACCCAAGCCTTTTAAAGAGGGCTCTTAATATAGGATTACTTCATGTCATTCGAATATTTTAGAATAGAGAAAAACTGCGTCTCCACCTTGTCGTGGTGGTTGGGCTTGCGTGACTCTGTGACCTGCAGAGCTATGCCGGCGGTAGTTTAACTACCAGCAGGGTCACCCATGCCGGAAAGGTCAAAAGGTAGATATCAGACTAAGAGAGTTACCCTTGTCCTCCAGGTTTGGGGTTGGCCATGAGGCTAACAACCTCATCCTATAAAAAGGATTTTGTTCAGAAACCTAACGGCCAGCCTCGGGTCATCATGCGTGGGTCCACTCCTATGGCAGCAGACACTGGTTGTGGAGACTGGTTGTAGGGGAGGCCAAGCCTCACCCAGGGCTGTAGTGACCAGTGGTAGGTAGGTGGGTGGGTAAGTAAAGGTATCCCTGTAACAGGCCGTGAATGCCCATAGGGCTGTGAAATGTTGAGGCTCCCATATTTTCAAGACAATCGGCTCACAGATGGCGGTGAGGTCAGCCTTACGCGCCGGCCGCCCGTTAACCACAGGAATGTTCCTGGTACTCATTTCTGTTAGAGGCTGAGTCGACCATAGTGCGGCTGGAAGGATTGAGTCAATTGAAAGAAATCCACCTCATCGGGATTAGATCCCGCGGCCTTCCGGCTTGTAGCATAGTGCCTCAACCAACTACGCTACAGCGGTGGTAGGTAGGTAGGTAGATATGTAAGTAGGTGAGTGGGTGGGTAGAAGGTAGAGAGATAGATAGGTAGGTAGATAAAAACTGCATAACGACGAACTTTGAAATGCGCATTCTTCATCCGTTATTATTAGGATCAGAAGGAGAATGAGATGTACTGGGCATGTAGCACAAATGAGATGATTAGAAATGAATACAAATTTGAATCAGAAACGAGGATAAGCAGAGGGCGCTTTGGAGACGAAACTGCAGCTGTGAGAATCATTTTGAAATTGATGTTATATAAATAGGACGCAAGGATGTGGATTGGACTTATCTGGCTCCGGTGGAGTGTTCTTGTGGACATGACAATGAGTATTCGAATTCGTAACTCGTGGCCAATCTGCCTATCAGATAGCCGCTGTCAGTTTCTCTTGAAGGACTTGACTCTCTAGAGCGAGGGGACCTCACAAGACACTTCAACATTACCTACAGACTAGATATGTGTTTCGATTTTTAGTAAGTCCCAATTTTTACACATTTTGACATTATCAGTCACACATTGCAATGATAACTTAAGAAGGACTGGGTAAACATAATGACTTGGACTCTTTAACTCATTCATCTACCAGCAAAATTGACAGGTCTTCACTTTATCTTCATAAATCTACTAAGGCGCTGTCGTTATTCTTTTCAGAAATACACAGCGTCACGGTCGGATGCTCTGAATATATTCAAGTTTGAGATTATATTTACAATGTTCGTTAAACATAAAGACCTTCGCATTTCTGCCCAGTGTCCTCGCATTGCGATTTCAGTTCAGCTCCAGAAGAGTAACAGTGTCACTTCTTCTGTTTCATTGCGGGGATACGAACTGGCTGATGCTGATTTTGTACAGGGTGCAAGTCGTTAGTGCCGATCACAGTGGCCCCGTGCGGTCTAAGCACGAACCGTCCTCGCCCACTCAAACACTGGGATCGTGGGTTCGAATCCCAACTTGAGGCATGGGTGTCTGTGTGTTTATTCTGTGTATATGTTCTGTGTGTAGGTAGCGGACTTGCGACGGGCTGACCCCCCGACCAAGGAGTCCTACCGACTGTGTATAGGATTAATTAAGAAGCTGATAAAGTGGCCAAGGTGCACAAGGGCTGTAGATCCATGGCTAGCTAGATAGCTAGCTAGATAGATAGATAGATAGATGGAGAGATAGATATATAGATAGGTAGACATATAGACAGATAGATAGATAGATAGGCAGATAGGTATATAGATAGATAGGCAGATAGATAGATATATAAATAGACAGACATATATATAGATATATAAAGTCGTTGAACGCAAAGAATGGCATTGTACTGAAGTCAAAATCCCAAGACTTGTAAGGTAGATTGTGAATGAAACTGATGAACTTAGGCGTTATACATAGGCTAGAGTCTCGACAACAAACAACATATTTCTGTCCCATTTTCACAAAGAATTCACTTTTCTTGAGGGCTATAATGAAGCCACGGAAAGAAGTCCACTGGATCGAACCCCTCATCATTTATTTCGGGCCGTTCCCCCCCCCTCCACAGCAATTCCCTATATTCCGCTCCAGTCTAGCTGATCTGTTCATGCGGAGTTTGCCGGTGATAACCTTCGTTAGGCGGCCCATACACGTACGAGTCTGGCTCGCGAGGAGCCGGGCTCCGATTAATTTCACCACACACGGACGAGTTTGGCTCATTGGAACCCGAGCGGAGTCGGACTCGTGAGCCCGACTCGTACGTGTATGGGCCCCCCTTAGAGACTAGCGCTTCGGACTTTGTAACACAGGATTACACGTGCTGGAGAGGAGTACAATCGGCAGAGAGGGGGAAGCCTCTAACCCCCAACATATACAAGATTTATTTCCGTGGCCCTGTAATTCTTTCATTCGTACTTGCGCCCTTGATTGGTGAGGAGAATGGGGGGGCCTGTTTGTGTAGTTCAACCAGACGGATCAGTTTAGGCCACCTGACAACATAGAGGTCCATGAAGCAACCACATGCAGTCGGCCGTCCGACGAGAATTACGTATTTTCCTTTATTCGTGCAAAAGCATCAGTACACAGAGGCGGGGTTCGAAACACCGCTAATACTGGGCGCTTGCGTAACTCGTAACTCAACACCGGCCAGGCCGTACACAGCCGCTTATGTGAGTGCAGGCTGAAGGCAAAGTCGATAAATAACTATAACGTGCGTTAATTCTTTTTAGGCGTCTGTTAATAATGAATGATCAAGTCAAGGAGGATGAGGTGGGCAGGGCATGTAGCACGAATGGAGGGAAGAGGAATGCATATAGGATGTTGGTGGGAAAGCCAGAAGGAAAGAGACCACTGGGAAGACCAAGATGTAGGTGGGTGGACAATATTAAAACGGATCATAGAGGGATAGGATAGGATGGTATGGTTTGGACTCATCTGGCTCAGGATATGGACCAGTGCAAGGTTCTTGTGAACACGGTAATGAACCTTCGAGTACCATAAAATGCTGGGAAGTACTTGAGTAGCTGCACAGTTGGCGGCTTCTCAAGAAGGGCTCACCTCCATGAGTGAGTCTGTTAATGAATTCACATAAACAACATTCAGAATGTATCGCCTCGATATTAGCTTGCATGCACAGAGAGTCTTGTCTTCTGGGTGCGGATACTTAGTTCACAGAATTCTGTGTGAGAGCCTCAGGTTCCTGACATGTTGAGGAACCCCGCTCACACACCAGGCCACTGGCGCACACGCACATGACGTAGTAGACGTCGGTGAGGGCGACGCTGTAGCCATTGGGGTAGCCCACCGTTGTGTTGAAAGGCTCTGTGCCGTACGGGCGACAGGAGTCTCCGATACCACCAAAATTGACGCACTGCGGGCTGCTGTAACGGCCCCCACCTGGCGAATGAAATAAAAAGGTTTGCTATTCATATAGAGAATCGACTGCATTTAACCGATATGGACCATTTTTTAGTTTTGGGGGTGGGATGAGACTGAGCCCACTTGGTACGTTGGCCACAAATTGGCCTATTGTGCCAGTCCGGATGATTGATGATGGAGATTGTGGAGCAGTCGGTGGAATGAGAATTGGCAGGGGAATCGGAGTACTCGGAGAAAATCTGCCCCAATGCCACTTTGTCCACCACAAATCCCACATGACCTGAACTGGGCTCGAACCCGGGCCGCCCCGGTGGGAAACCGGCGACTAACCGCCTGAGCTATGGCTCGGCCACATATGGACCATTCAATATGTCCACAAGTTCTGGAATAGATCTTCAGACTTTTTTTATTGCTAGTGGGGTGGAACTAAGTCCCTTGTACTGTGGCCACTTCTGGCCTCCAGATGATAGGTGAGGGTGATTGTGGAGCAATTGGTGGAATGAAGATTAGCAGGGGAACCGAAGTACTCTGAGAAAACCTGCCCCAGCGCCACTTTGTCCACCACAAATCCCACATGACCTGAACTGGGCTCGAACCCGGGCCGCCGCGGTGGGAAGACAGCGACTAACAGCTTGAGCTATGGCGCAGCCATCTTCAGACTTAATAAACATTCTTCAGGTTCTGTAGGATTTGAGGTTCTCACACCGGTGGTTATGAAGGGTACTATCTTCTGGGATATAGCGCCGTGTAGTTGAGCCTCTGCTTTCATTCTGGTGTCTTACTCGGCTTATTCTTCGACCCTGAAAATGGAGGCGATATGTTTCTCCGAAACGTCGGTTGACTTTTAATGGATTACACGGCGTTATATCCTAGAAGATACGTAGTGGAACTTTTCTGTATCGCGATTCGTTTTGCAGTTGTAACTTGCGGACGGACAGGACTTTCATATTATGCTTTTATGAACCTTACGCGAACTGCAGACTTAAAACGTGCTAAGGGTTCTGTACAGAATATCACAGCTGGGAGCATTCATGAGGGCAGGGTACGTACCCAGAACACAACACTGTTCCTCGTTACATTCGCTGGAATCCACACATCCTATGAAGGAAGGGCGGCGTGTGGCGTGGAGGCCGACAGAAGTAGCGGCGAGGCAAAGCAAGGCTACTGCTACTATCATGCTTTGATCCATTATACCTGCACAGAAAAATACGTTTGTTATAGCATATACCTATTTTTGTGACTCGCTCTGCAGCCCCCTTGGGCCCTGGCCTCAGATTTTCAGTTTCATGATCATTTTACAGACGGTAGGACTCCTTGGACGAGTGATCATCTCGTCGCAAGGCCTCTACCTAAACACAGGATAACACAAACACAGAATAAACACATACACATACCAACATCCATACCTTGTGTGGGATTCGAACCCACGATCCCGGCTTCCGAGCGAGCGAAGACAGTACATGCCTTAGACCGCTCGGCTACCTTAACCGGTCTATATACAGTATATCGACATAAAAATTAGAATATACAAAACTATAATTTTGCCTGTGGCTCTGTATGGGCGTGAAACTTGGTCTCTGACATTAATGGAGGAACATAGACTGAGGGTGTTTGAGGGGAATATTTGGACCGAAGAGAGATGAAGTGACAGGAGGTTGGAGAAAACTACATAATGAGGAGCTTCATAACTTGTACTCTTCTCCAAGTATAATTAAAATGATCAAGTCAAAGAGGATTAAATGGGCTGTTCATGTAGCACGAATGGGGAGAACAGGAATGCATATAGGATAGTCGTGGGAAAGTCAGAAGGAAAGAGACCACTACAAAGACCAAGATGCAGATAGGTGGATAATATTAAAACTGATCTTAGATAGGATCGGGTGGTATGGCCTCGATCGATCTGGCTCACGATAGGGACAAGTGGGAGGGCTTTTGTGAACACGGTAATGAAATTTCGGGTTCCATAGAATGGTGGGTAGTTCTTGGGTAGCAGCACAATTGGCGGATTCTCAAGAAGGGCTCAGCTCCATGAAGCTAGTTTTAGTTCATATAGAGCACACCGACTAAAGTCTACACATCCCAGCACGAAACAGTATGTAGAGTGTAGTTTTCCGCCCGGGCGAAGTTACAGAAATACCGTTTAACTATGGAAGAGGTTAGATCGAACTCATAGTAATAACTTTGATTTCCTACTTGGAACTTCTGCGATAGCGTACTCTGTACAGCGACTGGCTACGGGCTGGACGTCCTAGGTGTCGGAGTTCGAGTCCCGGAAGGATCAAGAATTTTCTCTTCTCCATGTCGTCCAGACCCGCTCTGGGATCCACGCAACCTCCTATCCAATGGGTACCGTGGTCAGTTTCCCCGGTGGTAAAGCGGCCTGGGCGTGAAGCTGACCACTGACCTCCAGCTAGTGCCGAGGTCAAGAAAATGATCTATACATTCACTACCGCATACGCCTTCATGGCGTAGTGCTTAATTATTTAATCACAGAGCCAACTTTACCTTTACCTCCTTTACCAACTTTACCTTTTTCTCTAGTCTCTTTTCGTCGTGCTGGTATATACAGTTGACTGGGACTGACATGGCTTGATGCAGTCGGCCTACGCTATGAAGCAGTGTACGACACACCTTGTGTAGATAACGTTACGGAAGAACAGTTCTGTGTAACTAAGTACGCACTATGCCATGAAAACATTTGGAAGAGTCGATGTGTATTTCAATTCCTCATCGGCGTATGAGTACGAGAAGTGTGCTGAAAACAGAATCAGGTAACTTTCTACTGATGTAACATAACTGCTTTATTAACTGACGACAACAGAGCATTGTTCTTGCAGTAGATGGGGCATAAGAGAGGGTGATACGAACATAAATATTAGGTCAATTGAAAAAAATCCACTTCATCGGGACTCGAACCCGCGACCTTCCGGCTTTTAGCATAGTGAAAATGCGAGTAACACTAATAATTTAACAGTTCTGGGGGACTCTAAATACTTGAAATGAGCAAGTACACTTAAGAACACTGTGCGGAAGTTCTTTTATTTTAAAATTATTGGGGACGGTTGCAAAAAACCCAAGACCTCACAGAGGAGTTAAGTGGCCTGGCGGTCGAAATCAGTCGTGTACTTTGGGTAGTTCTTTGTCGTTTATTTCACGACGTCAGTATCTAAGGGCCGATCACAGTGGCCGCGCGGTCTAAGGCAAGAACCGTCTTCGTTCAAACACTGGGGTCTTGAGCTCGAATTCCACTCGAGGCTTGGATGTCTGTGTGCGTTTATTCTGTGTCTGTATTGTACTCTGTGTAGGTAGCGGCCTTGCGACGGGCTGATCCCCCGTCCAAGGATTTCTATCGACTGTGTATAGGAATAAGAACCTGAAAAAGCGGTCAAGGTCCACAAGGGCTGTAGAGCCATAGATAATATCTGAGACACTAGCGTCAGATGATAACGTGATTGCTGAGTAATGAACTGGTAAGGTTTAGAAAGGACACGGTCATATACTAAAGAAGGTACTGCACCCGGGATTTGCCTGGAAAGACCGACGAAACCCACGAGAACCTCAGAATAGCCAAGATTCAAACCGAACCCCTCCCAAATAAGAGTCTAGGGCGTTGCCTATTCGTCAGCCTGCTCGGTTTGAAACGGACATACGGATATGGGCGAACTGGTAGCTTGGTCGGTTTTCACCAGACGCAGCCAAAACGTCATGTGAATCAGGATGCGAAACTCTGCACAATCCTGAAGCTGATGCAGAAAACAGGAAAAACAGACGGGGAATCCCCGAGTCGTAACAGCCTGCGAGATTACTCGATACCCCAGCTGCGCGCGCAAGGTCGTTGTGATTCTACTCGCCATTTATGTTACTCATACATGACTGAGAGGCAGAGCGACATATGTGGGTCCTGTTTCTATTCAGTTACCGCAAGTTAGCCCTGTGACTCCCGTGTAGTGCCCCAGGTAAACTTGTCTTTAGGATTTGTCAATGAAGCACAACGCCATATAGAGATGTAGGGAAGTGGTGGAATAGCTCTCAAATGAGGCTTAAGGTACTGTGCAGACCAGGACAGTTCCACGCCCACAAAACTATCTGAAGGGGTTTCAAAATATTTTGAGTACTGAATATTAGAACATTGAAGCCAGAAATTCGCCTATAATAATGTTTAAAATTCTGTTTCTACCTCACAGAAAAAACTACGTCGTTGTTACAAAGCTCAACTGGTGAACGCTGTCAGTGAAGTCGCTGTTGCTTCTGAATATCATACTATGACGGGATATAATCATTTGCTAGGCAACGGCTAAGTAAACACTAGTTTCCGTTACAACGGATAGTGGCAAACGAGTCGTTACCAGGTAAAAAGTTGCTTAACACAAGATTCCCGGGACAACCAACCGGACGATTAACTGTTCGACGCTATGTTTTCTATGCTGGCTGCCTAGCAGTTAAAATAAGTAGTGAATTCGAGGAGTAGAAATCCAACAGTGATCCATCCTCGTGTGGAGGCGGGTTCAAATACCTCCACCGTAACCATGCGAGTCGTTAAAGGCGACGAAAAGCGAACCCAGTGCCTGGGGGTATAAATACGGGGACCTGGACCCCAGGTTGGGGAAGTCTCGAATCTGAGACAGTAAAATATGGTCACGAGTCCCGCGGGACTCGGAAACGAGAATGACTGCACTGGCGAGGGCCAGAAGCAAATTTAAACGTCAGATTCGTCCTCTCGCCAGAGAGCGCTCCGCATCAACAAACCCGCAATTGTCTGACAGTAACACAAATCTGGCAGTAAGCCCCAGATGGATGATTTATTCGAAGATAGACTGGCCGACTGACCGTCAGTCGTGACATAACTTCGACTTGAGTAGAGCTCGAGAGTTTGAGAGACTACAGACCAGAGATTCTTCATAGGGATTCGTCAGATAGGCGTTCAGGAGGAATGCAATATGTGAGCTGTTAAGGTGCGTCCACATTACTCGTGCTCGCCAGGCTTGTGCTCGTCGGGAGACTCGTCTGGCTTTTACTTGTGCTCGTAAATCTTCGTCCACACTACGTCAGTTGCTCGCCAAGCTTCGGCGCGTGAGGATCCGTATATTTACTCGTAGTGTGTATAGGCTGTAGTCGTATTTTAATTTATTGGCTATAGTTTTTAAATTAAAAATTTAAAATTTGCTTGTCTCGTGACTTGTCATATCGTCCACATTACTCGCGAGCATAGCGAGTCATACGAGGACGAGCACGAGTTATGTGGACGCGCCTTATAATCAACTGTAATTGCAATGCAGACGCCCAATAAACCCAGTCATGAAATCTACAACCCACAATTATTCGTCACGCTACCCCTTATGCGTGACAATGCGGAAAGCAAAGGAACACTGACAAAATGCACCGGTCACTGCTTTGCTTTAAAGCGTTCATGAGCTCAGTGTGATGCAGATGATTCGCTTAGTGGGGGGTGGAGTCCAGTTGGGTCCACTCGGCAAGGCGGCCACTGATTGGCCTATTGTAGCCTGCCCCGGGTGATTATGATGATGGAGAATTTGCTGGAATGAAGATTGACAGGGGAAACCGAAGTACTCGGAGAAAACCCGCCCCAGCGCCACTTTGTTCACCACAAATCCCACTTGACCAGACCCGGAATCGAAGCCGGGCCGCCGCGGTGGGAAGCTATGGTGCGGCCTCAGTGATGCAGATAAAGTTTCAGAGTAATAACCATCCAGCAAATTGGTTCGAAAGGTATAGCTCTGGACTTTGTGTCATGGCCGATTAAAATCTCGGCCGGGACATTATCCTGACATGTTTTTCGTTTTCGTTTTCCAGGCAAATGGCAGAACAGGACCTTAATTTATATCACGTGCTTTGCTTCCCACATGATTTCCAGTTCATTAAGCAATAATCGATCATTTGATGCGATATGGTCTAACTTACTGACAGCGTCTTTAAAAAAAGCTACTAACAAACATATTAGGAGCTGCAGGCTATGTGAACTGTTCTTTATTCGGAATTTAAACCAGAAGAAATGGTGGATTGACAAATGAATTTAGTGACAAAGTTTCGAATGTGGGTACGGTTTTACCCTTAAGGTGAAAGGTAAAGTTGGTTCTGTGCTTAAGTAAGCACTATACCATGAAGGCGTAGTGGGGAGCAGAGGTATAACTTCGCCATTCTTGACCTGTGCACTAGATGGGAGTTGACTGGTCAGCTGTGGCTTTACCCCGGGTAAAGACCCCTCGGCACCCATAGGATAGGAGGCTGGGTGGACTCGGAGCTGGTCAGGATTCTGTGGAGAAGAGAATAATCTCTCGCTCCACAATCGAAACTTAGCTGTTCAGCCTGTAGCCTGTGGCTATACCGATTGAACTACCCTTGCTCCCTCTATGCGTCGTTATGGGTAATGTTAAGAGTGCACGGACAATTTTGCTTTTCTGTCGGATCGAAAGATATGTTACATTTTTGTCTGAAAGTCAAAGTGCAAGATGATACAAGACTGGTGTCGGAGAAATGTCTTTGTTGTTCTTAAGGATGCGGCTCCCTTCCGTGACAAAGGACTCTGTGCGGTTTCTACCGACTGAATAAAATCTCCGTTATGACGAGTCTGAAGTCTTTACAACGTAAAATCTAATAGTGGGTTCCAACAGGTAATTGTTAAAGAACAAGACAACAATCAAGTGCAACAAACTTAAACTAAAATGTTAAGCCAGCGAAAGTTATTAACATATTTTTTTATTGCTAGTGGAGTGGAACTAAGTCTCTTGTACTGCGGCCACTTCTGGCCTATTGTACCAGCCCCAGATGATAGGTGAGGGTGATTGTGGAGCAATTGGTGGATTGAAGATTGGCAGGGGAAACCGAAGTACTCGGAGAAAACCTGCATCAGCGCCACTTTGTCCACCACAAATCCCACTTGACCAGACCCGGGATCGGGAAGCCAGCGACTAACCGCTTGAGCTACGGCGCGGCCTCATTATACAAATAAGTCCCATGGAGTCACGATTGGAGACAGCAGAGCATCACAACTTGGGTCGTTAAACCAAAATGGAAAATCTTTCGCATTGAAATTATTCACAGTCTCGGGGTAAGTCCGAAATTCGAGTTTCGGGTAGCAAGTCCGAAAATAAAGAGCGTAAATCTAATGGATGTTAATTTAATGGGATCGCAAGTCTGGAAATGTGTTAAGTGTTGAAGTCGTGGGTCGACCTCCGGCTATACAGTTGCCCTGTGCTAAACTGATTAAACACTACCCCATGAAGACGTATGGGGAGTGGATGTATAGCTCCACATTTTCTTGACCTCGGCATTAGTTTGAGGCGAATGGTCAGCTTCATGCCCCGGTCGCTCTATCCCAGGGTAAAGAGCCCTCGGAACCCACTGGATAGGAGGCTTGGTGGGTTTCAGAGCCGGTCTTGACTCTGTCGAGAAGAGAAAATTTTTTGACCCTACCGGGAATCGAACTCCGATCCCTCGGTCGTCCAGTTGCTATACCGACTGAGCTGCAGGTATGCAGTGAAAATCAAATGGACCTATCTTTACAGCATCATAGTGAATCAGATTCGATTCGGCTAGCGTGCCCGCAGCCTGACGGAATAAAACTTTTTGCACTCTGCGGCGCGTTATTTAAAAAGAGGATTTCTTTTTGTTAAACTCTTGGTCGCCTCTCCCCTGATTCCCCTTCAAGGACTGCAGTAGCTTTGGCGAGACAAGCGTGACTCATTTGTAAGTTGGCGTGTACATTCTTAGCAATTTATCGGCTGGTTGGCAGCGCATTCCTTCCAGTAATCCACATTGACGTTAAGTAAAATGGAATTCCGGTTGTAATCTGACATTGATACTTATTTCTGGCAAACAGTAGCTAATGGAATCTTCTTGAGAATTGCGAAATAACAAGTCGACAAGTCAAATCTGAGACACCACACAGGGGAAGCAAGCAAACACGATCTCTAGGCCACATATTCGTATGGTCCAAAATTCAGGAAATTGGACGTCGCGGTCTAATGGGTAGGTTTCTTCCTCTGGCACATTCTTGGTTCAGATTTCTACATGGAAACAGACTACATAAAGTGGAATTTCGTCTGGGTTTCCACAGTAACGTGGCTTCTGACCATGTACGCATAAGAACAATACAGTTTAATTCAGTTCAGTCCATTTATTGAAAAGCGTGGCAACATCAGGCAAGAGAACATTAATACAAAGGATGTAAACAGAATGGACAAAGAAGGAAAGAAGAATAAACAATACACAACGGACATAATACTAAAAACCAAATAACATAAATGTAACTTTAATATTATTACACTTGTTATTAATAGACTTAATAATGTAAGTTAAACGAAACAACTCTTTGTTATAAGTACCGGTACTTCTATAGGAAGCATTTGTCCCAGAACACATCTAGTTGAGGGACCAAATTTTGTGCGATGGCGAACATCAAAAGTTGGATAATCTCACATTGACATTAATAATAATAATAATAATAATAATAATAATAATAATAATAATAATAATAATAATGTGGGCACGCAGTAGCGTAGTTTATTGACACACTATGCTACAAGCCGGAAGGTCGCGGGTTTGATTCCCGATGAGGTCATTGGAATTTTCAATTAAGCTAATCTTTCCAGCCGCGCTAAGGCCCTGGGGTCTAGTCAGTCTCTAGCAGAGATGAGTACCAGGAATCTTCCTAGGGGTAAATGACGGCCGATTCGCAAGGCTCACAAACTTACCGCCATCTCTGAGCCGACTTTCTAGAAAATATGAGAGCCTCGACGTCTTAAACCCTATGGGCATCCACGGCCTGTTACAGGGATAGCTCTGATTTTTACTAGTACTAATGATAATACATTCGTCTGAAATGTTTTGAAATACCAAATGAGATACGTTTTCCAAATGATCACACCTAATGGCCGTATATCGAACCTTGCTTCTCACTTGTATATTCTTGTACGAATGTGGTGTATATTGGGGGGGTTAGCGGGGAGGTTACAGATGCTGGAGCAGCTCCGGCTATGCGCGATATGATTTCGCTTCGGCTGTTTCGACAAGTACCTCTCCTCAAATGCAGAGTGAGAAAAACGTGTACGTAGCAAATATTAGCCACGAATCCCCCCTTCTTAATAAAAGGTTAATAACGATTAATTATTGTAAATGCACTGAAAAAGGAGTCGGTACAGCGACTCTTCTCCATGTCGTCCAGACCGGCTCTGGGATCCACCCAGCCTTCAATCGAATGGATACCACGGCTCTTTCTCGGGGATAAAGCGGCCGGAGCGTGAAACTGACCACTCACCTCGAATTAGTGCCGAGGTCAAGAAAATATGGATCTATATATCCACTCCACCATACACTTTCACGGCGTAGTGCTTAATTAGTTTGGCACAGGAACAACTTTAATTACTTAAATGGATTGAAAATATTTAATATATTTTCCATGAAAACATGTGGAATAATTCACGTCTTTCCGTCACTTGTACGACAGCCGGCGCCTTCTTCAATATTAGAACGCCCCTCCCCTCACTTACACTCACACAAACACACGACGTTCAGCTTTTGTAAACGCGGCTTGCTTGATTCACTATTGCACGTACCTGCGTCGCAGTTGACAGCAATCAGTGAAAGCAGCTTCTCGTCGGAGCGGAGTGCAGCTTTTAAACAAAACACAAGCATTGCGTTTCGTCCTCCAGCGTGGAGTGATGGGGTCAGGGTCACTGCGTGACGTCACAAATTCCTTGATGATGGTACCGCGATGTTAGACATACATGACGTCATAATTGCGCCGGCCCGGCTGGAAACGCGGGGAGGTGTAGTGACGATATTGTTGGAAGACGACCACAGAACTACAGGAAATCTATGAACATCTACTGGACATAATACACGTATGTTTCCGTTTTCTCTACAGCTTTTGTTCGAAACACACTGTCGTGGGTGTGACTATAGACGGGGTTTGGTTTGGTTAATGGATTTGCTGACTAGTTACAGATCGTAACTACAAGTAACTACGACAGTCTCACTGAGTTGCTTCAAATATCATTGTAACTGCAGTACATATAAAGTCTACGCTTCCTTCCGGATCCCTTCTAATTCATTATTAATTAATCATCGTACCGTTGATTTTAGCCTAATCAATCATCCAATTGGCACAGTATTTCAGGACCCAACAGTAACTGTCATTAGCGTCTCTTTCATCTGAGAAGTTCGCACAGCCGCCATCTTGATGTTATTAAAAGGTAAATAGGGGAAGTAGTACCTGTGCGTGACTACGCTATGAAGGTGTAGGGGGCGGTTTTCTTGACCTCGGCACTAGTTGGAGGGGAGTGGTCAGCTACACGCCCCTGTCGCTTTACCCCCAGGGGAAAGAGCCCCGGTACCCATTGGATAGGAGGTTGAGTGGACCCCAGAGCCTGTCTGGACGCCTTGGAAAAGTGAAAATTCTTGTCCCTACCGGGACTCGAACTTCGACTCCTTAGTCGTCCAGCCCGTAGCCAGTCACTATACCGACTGAGCCATCCCGGCTCCAATCTCGGTGTTATTAAAATAAAAATAAATAAAACGTTGCAAAGTTCAGGGTAAATTTTTCTGTCATGATGTACGCACTAAGTTTCAAGAAAATTTACAGCTGTTCTTTTTTCAGAAACTATTAAGAAGGATGGACGTACGAACACGACAAATGGACCTCAATACAATTACGCCATAAGCATTTTGTGTTTGATAAAATCAGCAAAATTTGGTAACTGAGAGTTCGTTTATACGCGATATCCCACACAAACCTCGCGAATTTCAATTATCCGAAGTTTTCCACTCGTAGCCAGTGTAGGCAACCGTATTGTTTGGGCTTGTGTGTCCGCTGGTTTTGCTTTCTGCAGCAAGAGATCCCGTATTTGCCAGAAGCAGAGATGCAGGAACTGCGGTGCGTCTTTTCGTGGCACGTGTTTCATATTGTATGACCCAATTTATGTTTAAACGTGAGGTCTGTGGTTCTCACAGCAGTGAATGTTATGATATGGTTTAATGGGTTGTGATATCGTGTAACCAAGCAGAAGGGTACCGACATGTTGGAGAAACCAGCTGCTCCATTTTCAGTTTAGACGAGTGGAAGAATCTCTACCACCCTGAAGATCCTTCTGATATCTGCCGAAACACACGTCACATCCCACAAGACGGGGTTCTTAATTTTTAAATCCGCTATTAATCATGTGCTTATGTTTTGTGTTTCGAGAAGGAAGAAGCAACTTAGGCTTTTCTACGCGTACAGTTGTGGCGGTCCTCCCAACCCCCGCTTTCCCATAAGGCATATGTTTAAAAAACCGCGATGTTTTTCAGGAACGTAACAAATGCGAGTAGTGGGGAATTGCTATACTGGTCACTATTGAAATGATGAACATATTGTGGCATGACGACTGAAGGCCAGGAAGTGGAGCCACAAGAGACGTCCATTGTTAGGCAACGGCTAGGTAAACAAACTCCCGCAGCAATGAACACGCAAGGAACAATAGAGGCATTGTTGGAAAAGACATTTTCTATTTGGTCCGTGCAAAGAGGTTATAAAAGAAGCGAGCTGAAGTTTGGAATAGCTGGCAGGCAGTTCTGAACGAGAATCAGCGAAGAAAGGACCTGAGCGCGTGAAGCTGAAGAATTTCCAGTGTTAGAAGCCGTTGCCAGGAAACGGCTGGTGAAGACAAAGCAGGCTGGAAAAGGCTTAGCGGGTGCTGTGGCGATTTGTGAATTGTGGAGATTAGCAATAACGCTGTAATTAATTGTTGTTCCGAGTACTGTGTATCATCATCATCATCAGTAATCTGTCAAGACGACAGGTCCACAGTCTCTTTCAAAACAATTCCTCCAATTAATGCGATCTAGAGCTTTCTCCTTCAAATGACAGTATCCTCTTCTGTCCCCAAGGTCATCCAGCATCTTCTTACGTCTTCTTCCTCGTCTTCTTGTCACTTCTATCCGCCCATCTATCTTTCCTTCGATAGCTTCTTTTAGAAGGCAGTTTCTGCGTAAAACATGACCAATCCAATTAGCCTTCCGTTTTCTTATTTCATGTAGGATATTCCTCTGCTCACTGACTCTAATTAACACTTCTTCATTTCTCACATAATCGGTCCAACTGATCTTCTCCATTCTTCTCCAACACCACATTTCGAAACTTTCCAGATGTTTCTGATCTACTGCCCTAAGTGTCCATGTTTCAGCCCCATACAGAGCTATGCTCCAAATGTAGCATTTCACTAGTTTCTTCCTCAAATTTAAGTCCAATTTGCTGGTAAAAAGATTCTTCTTCTTGCTAAATGCAGCTTTTGCCATGGCAATCCTGGATTTAATTTCACAAGTACACCTTCCATCATCTGTTAACAAGCTACCCAAATATTTAAAACATTTCACATTCTCCACTTGTTTTTGGTCTATCTTTATTGTGACTGGACTGTGTATAAGTGCAATAAATCTAATCATCCTATCCAAATCCCGTCTATAGTGACGCACCACAAAACTTCACGAAGATAACTCTGCTTGACTTGTCACAAGACTGCATACAACATACGGTACTGAGGAAGGTTATTATTAGTGTATTACGTACGAATATTTCTTTTCCAATGTAGTGTATTCATCATTTATGTGGGACACTGATTATCCATATCTGTAGGGAACTAGAACAATGCCATGGTTATTCTGTTGTGCAACTCTAAGGGCGAGAGCACACCAAGGAAACTGGCAACCGCAACGCTACCGCAGTTTCCAAGAAATTAACCGATTTCAAGCAGACAACTGGTTTCCAGATTAGCAGGCGCACACTGAGGAAATTTGTTTGAAGTTGCTCACATCATATCAAGTGGACATGTTCGTTCAACTTAATGCGTGATCATTCATTCATTCATCAGTAATCTGTCAGACGACAGGTCCACAGTCTCATCCACTTAATGCGATCTAGAGCTTTCTCCTTCAAATGAGAATATCATCTTCTGTCCCCAAGGTCATCCAGCATCTTCCTACGTCTTCTTCCTCGTCTTCTGGTCACTTCTATCCGCCCCTCTATCTTTCCTTCAATAACTTCTTTTAGAAGGCAGTTACTGCGCAAGATATGACCAATCCAATTAGCCTTCCGTTTTCTTACTTACTTGATCATACGTAACTTTTTAATTTCGTGCACTTTTCTTCTGCAGTCTCAGATAATACGTAATACTGATCCTGTCGTAATATGGCGGTGGTTGGGACGGCGTGAGAAGAGATGACAACGACCATGTGGAAAACATTGGGTTGTTAATTCATTTTAATTAAGTGGGCGGTGTATTTTAATAAGGAAATGTATCGCTTTCACACGGGATACGAAACTTTGACAAACAGTTCAACAGTTTTAGCAAGATAAAATACCTGATGATGGCCGTTTACAGCCGAAACATGTAGTGTGGAAGAAAGCTGACTAGATAAAAAGTTGCATTTAAGAAGTAAATATATGTGAAATAGGTTATATATTAATGCAACAGGATGCTTAAGTACAATATTAGGAAAAGAACACATTGGGTGCATCCGTTCTTCTGTGACAGTTTAAACTGAGGCACTTATATTGTTTCGGAAGAACTTAAGCCGGCTTCAGACTCCCTTTTCTCACGAGAAATCCTTTCAAAGCCAAATCTATTTTGTCTTGCCAAGCACAGTTTGCGCGGAATTTCTCGTATATACAAATCCCCTGCTAAATTAATTGCAAGGAAACAAAATTAGCAGCTTCATAAACCTCTCGTGCCATCTTAATAAATGAATTACTGAAGCGCGTTAGAACAGCTGACACTAGGAAACTACGCGGCAACGCAACTGTGAGAATACTGGCTTTTCCACGGGAGTTGAGTTTCTTAGTCTTCCTCGATTTGCGTTGCCGTTTCCTCAATTTGCGCTGCTCCATTCAGTTCCACGTGTTCAACTCAGCCTGATAACAATTCTCGGAAATTGCAGTTGCGTTGCGGTTGCCAGTTTCTTTGGTGTGCGACATATATACGTATACAGTATGTACACATGAGATGGATTTGTAGCCAGATATTAACGAACTCAAGTGCAATTCTATCTTTGATGCAAAAGTTATTTATGTCAGATAATTTATTTTGTTAATAAGAATACGTCACCGAAAAAAATTGTTTTCATAAATATTTAGACTAATAAGATCAGTCGGCATAGCGACGGTCTACGAGCCCGACGGCCGAGGTTCGAATCATGGTAAAGGCGAGAAGTTTTTCTCTTCAGCGTCTAGAAGCGCTCTGGGCCAACCCGTCCTCCTATAAAATGAATAACGAGGGCTCTTTCCCCGGGGATAAAGCGGCCGGGGAGTGAAACTGACCACTCACCTCCGTCCAGTTCCGAGATCACGATTGACTGAGCAGTGCTTCCACACCCCCCATACGTCTTCATGTCTTAATTAATTAAGCAAAGGGACAATTGTACTTATTTTTTAGAAATATTTAGGGCCAAACGAATATTAATGTGTAGGCCTGCAATATTGTTTAACGTTGTATATTACGCCAGTCATGTTTTTGATGCTTGCTGTACGTTACGAGCTCCGTGATTTCACATTTGTTTCCGCTGCAGTAGATCCTAAGACATGGGCTTCTCACCGTGGAAGGCCGTGGTTAATTCCGGGTCACTTCTTGTGAGATCCATGATGGATGAAGTGACACTGTAGCAGCTCTGTCTCTGAATTGCCTAGGTT